TGCTGCTGGGGTGCCATTGCTTCTAGGCCCTCTCAGCAGACAGACCCAGGCACTATATGTATGTACGAATGTATTTACACAGGCAGACACACATGTGTAATGTATTTATATATACATATGTCCATTTACATCGATTTCTTTTTTTCTATCTGTCATTCTTTCTTTCTGTCTGTCTTGAAACCATGTGTTCATAGCTACCTCCTATTCCAGTCCAGCCCTACAGGGTTCATTCTAGTTTCTCCCTTTCCATATATGCTTCTTTTAACAGTGAGACACTCAACTCCTGTTATGTACAAGATATTTATTTGCTTTTAATCCTGGAGTACTCAGAAAGTGGTCTTGAGAATTGCTAACCATTATCTGCAAAAAATCAATCTTTGTTTATAGTTCTTTTGTCTTTAGCCTGAGGGCATCTATCAAAATACTGTGGAAGTTACTTGGTTGTTTTCTCCTTCATAACCTGGGTGATTATATTAATCATTAGAAATACAGTTAGTTTTCTTTAGGGATCTCTCTCATTTTTTATTTTATTTATTTATTTATTGAGTATATGAAACATTAACGTTGTTATTAAAAAAAGTCTAAACTATACACAAAGGTATACTCAGAGAAGTGCTGTGTGACTTTGTGTAAGTTTCTTCACCTCTCTGATCTTCAGGAGCCTCATCTGTAATAATATCAAGTTAACATTTAGAGGGTCCTCACTCTGTGCCAGGCACTCTGCTGTGTGCTTTGTAGACATTACCACATTTTTAATCCTAAAAAGAGTCCTACAGTGTAGATACTGTTATTACCCCGGTTTACAGATGAGGACATTGAGGCTGTCCAGGGTCCCATAGTTAGGGAGTGGTCGAGTCTGGATTTGAGCCCAGGCCAGATTTGAGCCCGCATTCTTATCTGGACTTTGGACTTTGAAAGCTTGTTGTGCCTGGCACAGAGTTGATGCTCAGAACATGTTCACCGCATCCAGCCGGGTCTGCACGGCTCACATTAAGCCGATAACTGGGTGGGAGGTCGAGGTGGTTTGTGTTTTGGCTCTGCTGTCCCTCACACCCCCTCTCATCTTTCTGCCAAGAGAGTTCATGGAGAGCCTGCAGGACCCAGACCTGAATGTGCGCTGAGCCACTCTGGCTTTCTTCAACTCGGCCGTGCACAACAAGCCCTCGCTGGTCCGTGACCTGCTGGATGACATCCTGCCCCTACTCTACCAGGAGACGAAGATCCGCCGGGACCTCATCTGAGAGGTGAGGCCAGGGGGGCCAGAGCTGGAGCCCTCAGGCCTGACCAGTAGGGCTGTGGCAAGGATTAGGGTCAAGCTCCTCAGAGCAGGCGCAGGGGCCACATGGCCTGGGTCAAGTCTGGCCCCTTCACTTCCCAGCTGTGTGACTGTAAAGGGAAAACCCCAGTCTTCCACTTTCTGTGTAGGAAAAAAGCCCAGTTCTTCCCAGTCTCCTTTACCTTTACAGAGAACACTTCGCTTCTGACACTTCTGGTCACCAAATGTGTGGAGGTTTTCCCCACAGCAACAAGCGATTCTTGGCCACTAGCAGGGTGTGCAGGACTTCAACCCAGTTCTGCCAGTCCCTACTAGGAGTGAGCGTCAGATCCCGCAGGTTAAGGGCTCAGTCCCACAAGACTGCCCCCGACCTTCAGATGCCAATTGCAAGCCCAGGTTGTTACCTGTGCTTCTGGCCAACTGGCTATAGATCAGAGGTTCCAATGACCCCCTCCTTGGGTTCGACTAATTTGCTAGAGTGGCTCACAAAACTCAGAGAAACACTTACTTACTTTTACTAGTTTGTTAAAGGATGTGATCAAGGACACAGATGAACAGCCAGATGGAGAGATACACAGCGGGGAGGTCTGAGAGGGTCCTGAGTGCAGGAGCTCCTGTCCTGATGGAGTTGGGGTGCATCACCCTCCCCGTGTGGATGTGTTCACCAACCTGGAAGCGCTCCGAACCCCATGCCCTTGAGATTTTATGGAGGCTTCCTCACATAGGCATGATCAAGGTGGGGCTGAAAATGCCAAGCTTCTAATCACGGCTTGGTCTTTCTGGTGACCAGCCCCCATCCAGGAGCCCGCCCAGAGTCGCCTCAACAGAACAAAAGCTTCTCCTAGTGCTCCTATCACGTGGGAATTTACAAGGGTTTTAGGAGCCCTGAGCCAGGAACCAGGGGCAGAGACCAATATATTTATTTTCTGTTAGTTCACAGTGACCCGGGCCAGGGCAGCCTGATCTGCTCTGAGTCTGTTTCTCCTCATATGTTCACATCACAGGGTTTTGAGAAGATCTAAAGAGTTAAATCTCTCAAGTGCTCGGAACTGCTCCTGGCACACAGTCAGCACTCGGTAATGGTAGCTCGCTTGTCACTCAGCACTCAGCAGGTGTTCACGGGGCACCAGCCCTGGGTCCGAGTGCCAGGACTCAGAGCTGGACCAGTTATGGTTTCTGCCGCCAGGGAGCTCAGGGCCTCCTGAAGGAGAGAGACGCCCACTCTGCTGATTATTTAACTTATTCAGAGCCCACTTGGTGCAGTAAGGATTTAAGGGGCAGAGCAGAGATTAAACGTGATTTAATAGCTAAGTTATCGCACGATGTAACGAAAAGGTCTGAACCACCTGGCGTCAGTGAGGAGGAAACGACTCTGTTTAGAGGGGTTAGGAAAGTTTCCCAAAAAACAGGGCATTTGAGCTGGGCTTTGAGGGGTGAGAAAGAGTTTACCATTAAGAGCAGAGCCTCGCCCAGCCCAGCAGCCAGAGCAGCCACAGCCTGCGCCCTCTCCCACCCACCCCGGCTCTCTTTCCCGCTTCTTCCTCCTCCTCCCCCAGGCCCCTCTTCCTCCTCCGCCCACCGCCGGCCTGCTGGGGGTCCCCCCTCGCCTTCCTGCTGGCCCCTGTTGTTCTACCCCCAGCCTCCCACCCTTCCCTTCCCGCCCGCTCCCCTTTCCCCCTCAGTGGCCTCACGCCTGCAGTTTTTGGCTTTCACTCCACCAGTGACCAAAGACTTAACCACTTGAAGTCCAGCTCCCCAGAACGCTGCTTGACATGGACACCGGTGTGATTGAGGTGGATTAAGTGTCACTCACCATCCAGCTACTTATGCCTGGAAAGGAAGTTGGCAGTATCATCAGAAAGGAAGGACAATCAGTTAAGAAGATGCGCAAGGAGAGCGGTGCACGTATTAACATCTCAGAAGGGAATTGTCCCGAGAGAATTATTACTTTGGCTGGTCCCACTAATGCCATCTTCAAAGCCTTGGCTGTGATCATTGACAAACTGGAAGAGGACATCAGCAGCACTGTGACTAATAGCACAGGTGCCAGTAGACCCCCAGTCACCCTGAGGCTGGTGGTCCCTGTTAGTCAGTATGGCTAACTCATTGGGAAGGTGATTGCAAGATCAAGGAAATACGAGCAAGTACTGGAGCTCAGGTCCAGGTGGCAGGGGGTATGCTCCCCAACTCAGCTGAGCAGGCCATCACTGTTGCTGGGATTCCACAGTCCATCACTGAGTGTGTGAAACAGATCTGCGTGGTCATGTTGGAGTCCCCCCAAGGGGCATGACCGTCCCTTACTAGCCCAAGCCGTCCAGTTCTCCGTCATCTTTGCAGGTGGTCAGGACAGGTACAGCAACAGGCAGTGACAGCATGAGCTTTCCCCACACCACTCCGTCCGTGTGCCTCAGCCCTGACCTGGAGGGACCTCTAGAGGCCTTTACCATTCAAGGACAGTATGCCATTCCACAGCCAGATTTGACCAAGCTGCACCGGTTGGCAGTGCAACAGCCTCCTTTTCCCATGACGCATGGCAACACCGGATTCAGTGGCATTGACTCCAGCTCTCCAGGGATGAAAGGCTGTTGGGGTTTGGATGCATCTGCTCAGACTACTTCTCATGAACTCACCATTTCAAACGATGTGATGGGCTGCATAATTGAGTGTCAAGGCGCCACAATCAATGAGATCCGTCGGTGTCTCGGGCGCAGATCAAATTGCGAACGCGTTGGAAGGACCTACTGATGGGCGGGTTACCGTCACTGGATCTGCTGCCGGCATTAGCCTGGCTCAGTATCTAATCAATGTCAGGCTGTCCTGGGAGACGGGCGGCTTGGGGAGCAGCCAGAACCATGCAGGTCATCCATTGTCCCTTTCTGCTGTTCATCACCGCCCATGATCTATCTGTGTAGTTTCTGAACAGTCAGCGATGCCAGGTTTTAAATAGTTTGTAAATTTTCAGTTTCTACACACTTGATCATCTACTTGTGATTTTTTTAAAGAAAGTGTTTTAATTCCTTTCTCTGTTCAGCTGTGAATTCTGAGATCCATATTTAGTTTTATAAGCTTCTCCCTGTTTTTTTTTTTTGGGTCATGAAATTTGTTTTATAAGCTTCTCCCTGTTTTTTTTTGGCTCATGAAATTTGTTTGTCATGGAAATGTAAGAGTGGAATATCAATACATTTCAGTTTAGTTCTGTAATGTCAGGAATTTTTGAAAAAGATTAACAGATGGACTGGAGCTTTTTCTTTGTGAATAGAAAAAAAAAGAAAAAGAGCAGAGAGAGCCTCATGGCTTCCGAGAGACCTGGGTTTTTAATTCTGGTTCAGCTGCTTACTAGCTGTGTGTCCTCGGGCAAGTTAATTAACCTCTCTGAGCCTTAGTTTCTTCATATGTTGAATGGGGCTAATAGTAGCACTGTCTTCCTAGGGCTGTTGTGATGCTTGTGTACAATGTCATCTGTCAAGCACTCAGTACAATGCCTAGCGCATCATAACTGCTCAGTAGATTATGATAGTAATTGTTACTGCTGTTATCATTTGGTGGAAAGGGCATTGCAGGCTGAGCAAAGGCATGGAGATTCAGTGTATGAGGCATGATTTGGGGGTGGGACACAGGACTGAACAACAGGAGTGGGATGTGCAGCAGGAACTAGGAGAGATCTTCCTACACCCTGGGGTCACATCCCCCAACCTTTCGTCATCCTTCCTTCCTGCAGGTGCAGATGGGATCCTTCAAGCACACAGTGGACGATGGGCTGGACGTGCGGAAGGCGGCCTTCGAATGCATGTACTCGCTGCTCGAGAGCTGCCTGGGCCAGCTGGACATCTGCAAGTTCCTGAACCATGTGGACGACGGCCTGAAGGACCACTACGATATCCGGGTAGGACAATCCCCTGCCGGACCCACACCCACCCTGCACCAAGGGGACAGCCAGGCGCCCCTGGGCCCACTGCTTGTTTTTCCGCCACTCCCAACCCCAGGCACCCCCGTGAAAATAGCTGCTTTGTTCTTTTCCGATAAGAAAAAGAACCCACACCTCAAACACCTTTGGTGGGCGTCTACACTGGGCAAGCTGTTTGGAGGATAGTTTGGCAATAAGCAAAAATTTTAGAAATCTCAGACACAGCCGTTGACCCAGCAATTCTGTCTCCATGAACAGAGCCTCTGGACTGATCGCTAAACACGTGCTCGGAGTTTTATGTTCAAGATTGTTCATCACAGCTCTCTGGGGGTTGGGAAAAGCTGGCAGTTACCTAAACGTCCACTCACTGGGAGCGGGCTCAGTAGACGGGGTGCCTCCAGTCATGGAATTCTAGCAGTGTTAAAAAGAGTCAGCCGGACCTCTGTGTACTGATGTGAAAGATGGCCAAGACCCACTGTTGGGTGATAAAAGCGAGTTGCAGAAGTTTGCGCCATTTTATTATTACCCATGTGAGTTAGGCAGGGGCTGGCAGGGAAGGGGGAGACAGATTTCACTTTATATCCTTCTGTAGCTTTAAAAAATATATACAATGAGCATGAATCACTTTTATAATGAAAAACCAATGTAAAATAACCAAAAGTAATACAGGCTTGTTTTAAAAGATTTAGACAATATAAAAGCAAATAAAGAAGCAAGTAATAATCATGCAAAAATTCCACTCCACCTGGAGAGGACCACTGTTGTAAATCTCAGTATGTTTCCTGGCATGATGCACAAAAAACCATTCATTAATTTACTTAGCCGATATTTGGTGAGTGCCAATACACAGAGGGCAGCATGACAGGCAGGGTCGCTGTTCTCAAAGCCGTGGAGATGGGTGTGTGGTGTGTATTTTACAGACGTGAGAGCCCACGACGTACTTTGACTTTTAGCTTATGTTTACTGGATGTTGCTCTTTTCTTGTCGATATGTGTCAGTCCTCACCCTCATGTTTCATGACCACAGGAATTCCCACTTCCATTGAGCTCACTGTTACACATTTGGGTTGTTGACACATTTTCACTATTATAAACAACACTGCAGAGAATGCTCTGGTGCCTCACTGCTCTGGTGCCTCACCGTGACACCCGGTGCTCTCAGTGGGATGCTGGGCGAAAAGCCTGGTCCTTCTAGGCGTTTGGTGCCCATTATCAGTGGGCCCCCAAAGGCCAGGCCTCCCCCAGCATTGCTGGAGAGCGGTGGGCACGCTCTGACGACTCTGGGCTCTGAGCCCACGGAAGCCTTCCCTCCTGCACGTCTAGTCTTAGTTGTCTCTTCCTCACCTTTATTATTACTGTTTTAAACCGTTACTCCCTGCCACCCCCCCAGAAAGAGAAAAGAAATGACTTATGCTTCCTGCTGTTCCAGCTCCAAGCTCTTGGTTTAAAGAGGGGTTGGGTTTTTCCAAAGTGTATGCCACGGAATACTAGTTCTTTGAGAACTAGTGGAAAATGCTGGGATTCACAGCGTTAAGCGAGCGTCTCCAGGTGGGGGAAGGGTGTGCCATGGTTCTCCCATTTGGGCATGACTGGTGTTCGAGAGATGTCTCAGGGGGCTGGTGTCCCCCAGAACGCAGTTCCAGGAGTTGTGGCTGGCCCAACCTGGGTACCTCCAGTCACGGAGTGCCAGCAGCACTGAGAAGAGGGGCAGGATCCCTGCGCACTGACGTGAAAGCTAGCCAAGACCCACTGTCCAGTGAGAGAAGTGAGTTGTTTTCATGGGAAATTTTCCCACGCTCGAGCATGTCTTTCTACTCTTCTTGCCCACTCTGGCCACATGCCCCTCTTGCCCGCCCTCCAGGGAGCACAGGACAGAGCTGGGCGTCAGAGCAGCCTTTGGACCCGTGTCCAGGCCCCCTTTGGTGCTGAAGAGGGTGGGTGTGACATCTATTGAGCACCGACAGTTATCTTGTCAAGTCTTCACATTAACCCTTGGAGAGTGAGTCTGTGATGCCCAATTTACAGGGGAGAAACAGCGACCTGGCTGGTTCAGTCGCACACCCCGGGAGTGGAGGAGCTGCAGTCATAGCTTGTGATGGCTAATGCCGTGCTCTCTGCTGCTCTGGCCCCAGTGCTCCTCCTTTGCTGTGGGGCCTGGGGAGATCAGGGCAGAGTGCACAGCTGGTGGCGATGGGTAGGGCATGCATGTGGATTTCAGACAACCGTATCATTTTAGGGTCTTTACCATTTTCAACAGAGGGCACTGTTATTCTCCTGCAGGCTGAATCCAGGCCTGTAGACGTGTTTACTTGGCTCACACAGTTGTTGTTGTTGTTTTTAATCAGGTGCCAACACTTAAAAATTGAGAGATTTTACATGAAAATCTGGGTTTCTTTTGAAAACAGTCCAACCCTGGCCACAGTCCCACCTAGCCACAACCGGCTGGAGCTAACTAGCTGCTGTCTGGAGAGCGGACTCCTTACTCCTTCCCAGTTCCCACCTGGCCCTCTTTTTCATGGACAGTATCTGCCTGGCCCTGTGGGCATCTGAGCTTGAGAACTGCTGCCTCCCGGTACCTCTCTTATCTGATCTTCCTCAGGACTGCCGAGTGTAGTTGGCATAGTAGGCCTTATCATGCACACTTTACAGATGCGAGAACTGAGGCCCAGAGAGGGCGAGACTCGGGCAGGGCCCTGCAGGAATCAGTGCTGAGTTTGGCACTGAGCTCCGGGTGTGGGTCCAGAGCCTCTGCTCTTCCCCGGGGCCTGCTGCTTTTGGTCCTGGGCCATTTTACCAAGAACTCTGTCTCCTTCCCCCTGGGCAGATGCTGACCTTCATCATGCTCGCTCGATTGGCTACTTTGTGTCCTGCGCCCGTCCTGCAGAGGGTGGACCGGCTCATTGAGCCACTCAGGGCCACCTGCACCGCCAAGGTAAGCCCCCTGCCCAGCCCTGGGTGCACCTGCTGGGTCCTCAGCAGACCGTTCATAGTTACCATTTACCAAGAACCTCCCGCGGTACAGGTGGTGTATGAAGTGCTTCATTTGATTATTAGCGTCACCTTATAAAGTACTTATTCTTACCATCGTACACACAGGGGAACAGAGGCTCAGAGAGGTTAAGTTATTGACCAAGGCTACACAGCTAGTACACTGCAGAGCTGGGATTCAAACCCAGCTTTATCTCTTTCTTTCATTCATTAAACATTTCCTGGGTGCCAGGCCTTGTGCAAGGTACTAGGGATGCAACATTGAACATGGTAGGCTCCCTCCTCTCACATCCTAATTGGGAAACTGAGTCAGACTCTTAGACAGATAGAAATCATTGATTGATTGACTGATTGATATAGGGCAGAGTTGCTGCTAGACTGGAGTGCCTCAAGGGATCTGGGACTAAGGCCTCATGGAAAGCTGCAGTGTTGGGAACAGAGCCCCGCACACCCAGGGGTATCCAGGAAATTCTTGCTGAATGAAAGAACTAATTAGGGTTTTGGAAGGTTGGGAATTAACCAAAAAGAGGGCAGAGTATTTTAAAGATTTTATTTATTTATTTTTTCCCCCCAAAGCCCCAGTAGATAGTTGTATGTCATAGCTGCACATCCTTCAAGTTGCTGTATGTGGGACTCGGCCTCAGGATGGACAGAGAAGTGATGCCTCGGTGCGCGCCCAGGATCCGAACCCGGGCCACCAGCATCGGAGCGCGCGCCCTTAACCACCAAGCCACGGGGCCGGCCCCGGGCAGAGTATTTTAGATTGGAGCTTAAAGAGGATACCTGTAGAGCAATGATTTAAGTAGCAAAATCTTTTCCAAAAAACTGAAATCTTATGTGGATGAAACAGATGAAATTAGTAATTTATTAATAGAAACCTGCCTTGTAAATTTCCATTTTTAACATACGCTTAGTATGAAGTTAATCAAAGAAAACAGTGGTTCTGCAGGGCCACTGAACTCTGGGCAGTCTCAGCGGCCAAATAGTGTCCCATTTTCTTTGAACTGGACAGCATGGAGAAAAGTGCCAGTCACAGGGAGGAGCTGCCAGTGGCACTGCAGAGTCAGGAGACCCCTTCACTCACTTTGATCTGAGGCCCACCCACACAAAAGCCAGTCAGTCTGGCTGCTGAGAGGATGCCGTGGTGATGAGAGCTTGTGACATCCACTTCCCCTCACCCACAATTCTGAAACCTACCAAGCTCTGGAAACCAAAAGCTTTTTAGTAACTTGTTTGGCAACAAAACTTGACTTGAACTAGCATGAGGCTGTTTATAACTTTTATTTCTCTCTTATTGTCATATTCATAATATTCTTAAATTTTTCATAAATTTAGTGGGGGGAATATTAATGTATTTGATTACAGAATATTGTACCAGACCCATGTTATCTGTACAGTATCACTTTCCTAAAACCCCCCAAAATCCCAAATTTGAAAAGCACATCTGGCCCCAAGGGTTTCAGAGAAAGGGTAATGGACCTGTATTAAGTCATTAACCCTCATGGTAACTCTGTGAAAAGGAGGCTCTTATTTATAGATGGGGAAGTGAGGCTCAAAGAAGTGACCACCTGAAGTCACAGCTCTACAGAGCAGAGCCATTCAAACCCAGGACTGTCCAACCCCAACGCCAAGTTCTTAACCACTAGACTCTTTATGGAAGAGCCTAAGTGTTGTCTGGGCCAAGTCGTGGAGGGCCTTGAGAGGCGAGCAGGAGGAATCTGGACTTTATTCCATAAGCAGTGTGGGGGGGTTCCTGAGATTCTCTGAGTAAGTGGGAGAAGGTGGGGGATGGGGAAACAGAAAGCAGGCAAGGCAGTCTGGGGCGTTGATTCTCTAGCTGCCCTCTGCAGAACGGACTGCAGGGGCAGGGACTTGGGTGGGCGAAGAGGCCAGCTCGAGCCGGTCACAGTAATCCATTCATGCAGTTAAGTCACATGGTACCAAGAGCCTGTTTGCAGCACAGTAGATAAAGCTAAGTTGATGCCTCCTGTCAGGGGAAGGAGACAATTAACTGAGCACTTTACAGCAATTGTCGCCATCAACTTATTTATTAACGAAAATGGGCAATTTAGATCAGCTTAGGTGACATGGGAGCTGATCTGAACAATAGAGAACCACCCTCTGAGGAAAGGAGCCAGTGTAAAAGCCCAGAGGTGGAGGAAGCCTTCAGGAGGCTGGAACCACAGGAGCCCGAAGCAGGGGAGTGTGCGGTTTTAAGCTGGTGAGGATCACAGCTGGTCACGAGGAAACAAGGCCCAGTGAGGAGGCTGTGGTGCAAGGCCAGGTCAGTAAAGGACGGCTCGTTGTTCACTGTTTCTGGCTTTAGGTCAAAGCTGGTTCCGTGAAGCAGGAGTTTGAGAAGCAAGATGAACTGAAGCGCTCTGCGATGAGGGCAGTGGCCGCCCTGCTGACCATCCCTGAAGTGGGGAAAAGCCCCATCATGGCCGACTTTTCTTCTCAAATCCGATCCAACCCTGAACTCGCAGCCCTCTTCGAAAGCATCCAGAAGGATTCTGCTTCAGCCCCCAGCACAGACTCAATGGAGCTCAGCTAGTCCTCCCCCAGTCCCCAGGTGGGCCCTTACTCAAGAGAAGGGGGCCTGCCCAAGTCTGAGGCCTCTACTTTTGCCCTTTCATCTCACTGGGGGCACTCCTGCTCCTGGTCGGGGTTTACAGTGTCTTCTCCAGGGACCCCAACTCAGGCCCCCAGCTCCGGAGCTACAAGGCTACCAGCAGTTGAGCCCTTTAACTCAGGACAGTCATTCAAACACAACACAGAGTTTCCATGACTCCCTCGAAGATGGATGTGTCTTTACACTGCCCTGGTCCCTTCAAACTGGGGAGGGCCTGCCTCACAACGTCCTAGGTAGTATTTAGAGATACTCCCACGCTCACAGCTGCAGAGGGCTGGGAGGCAGCGTGCTGGCCTTCCTTCCCACTAGTAGCCCAGATTTACCACTCACACCACTCCAATTTCTTCACCTCACTTGATCTGATGTGCCAAAAATTAGTGCTTTGGCTGGGCACCTTAAAAACTCAGATAATTCTGAGATTCATATTTTAGAATTCAAAATGCTTTACTTCTAATTGGCAGTGATGAATCGGAAGTACGGGTTTTTTGCAGGGGGAGGTGGGTGCGGTAGGGAATTAGATCTAATGTTTTTTGTCCTAATTTCAAAACTCTCATGTAGCAAACCGGCAAAGAGGAGAGCACAAAGACAAGTTCAAACCACCTTTCACGTCACCCCACCTAGGCATAACCAGTTGGTTGGTGTCCTTCTGAGGAAGGTTTTGAACATGTTGTTTCTAGTTTTTAGTATCGAGGACACAGAGATATTAAGCAACAGGCCAGAGAATTTTCTGTGCTATCCCAGGCTAATAAAGGAGAGATCCTAAATTGTCACTGTTGTCTCTGCACAATTCCTCTCCCCAATAGAGCACTATCAGTCTACCTCCCAAGTCAATTTACAGAAATCACGGAAATGACCAACAATTTACTCAACAACTGTTTCCGACTAGGTTTTGAACAGGTGGTCGTCAACCTGTAAGACATGTGTCTACTGAACTAAGGGACTTATGTAGCATCATGCCTAGCACACCAAGAAAACGATCAGTGTAGTATTTCTGCTCAGTTGACCAGGATAGTGAAAACGAAGACACCCGATAAGCATCGGTCTTGTACTAGAGTACCACATGCTATACCCATTGTGACCTACAGTGCCACTTAATACCATTTCTCGGAGAAGCGGTATCATAACCTTATCATTAAACCAGCTAAATTCTAGCTATTGTTGCTTAAGGTTTAGGGCTGTAGTTGAAAAGGGAGCTTGATTGTACCAATCAAGAGGCCCGTTACCATTACCATCAGTTAAGGATCCCACACCTTCAGAAACCGTTCACTTCTGCCTGAAGCAGCAGGCTGGGGCGGGTCACAGGAGGGAGACTGGAAGACACTTTTAAGGCTGCTATTACGTAGTGGAGAGATCTGTGTGTCATCCTGTTGTATATTTTTGGATAGAAGCTATAGGGTGCTATTCTGGCACCAAATAAGCATTTAAGGGAGTAAGAAAAAATTCATCTGGATACTTTTGTGCACATGTTCTCAATCTTCACAAGAACCGCAGAGGGTAACTGTGACCCAGCTTTACAAACTGAGGCTAAGAGTGACTACTTGCTCCGAGCTGCAAGGTCCTTTAATCAAGGGTCTCAGAAACTACCTTGGTCTGAGGGCCAAGTCTCCCCCCTTTTCCCCAGCCCCAACTGGAGCCAACCAAGGCTGGTCTGGACACCTGAGGTCTGTGCCCTGTGAAGGACTGAGTATCCTTTACCAACTCCTTCCAAATGGAAGATTCCACAGAGCATCAACAGGCAAAAGAACAGTCCCTGTGACAAGCTGTCAAAGTAAGAAACTGAACAGTAAAACAAAGGGGGGAATGCCAGATGGCAGTTTTATGGTTTTATTAACACAAATACAATGTGCACGCGAGCTGTCTATTCATTTTCTTCGCTGCGCAGCCTGGCATTGGGATTGGTGACTCTGATGGCCAGCTGGGCTGCTCTTTCCACAATGGCTTTGCGGTTCTTGGAGGAGACGTTGTGAGCAATCTCAGCACAGTAAGATCTGGAAGAGAATCGGTGAGTGGGTAAGGAGCAAGCCAGCCTGGGAATACACAACACTGGGAACGCAATGGCTTTGGTCCCTTCACCTCCAGAGCCACAGTACTGAGCAAAGAGGGTGCTGGTAAATGGCTGCTGAACGAGACCTGCACGCCCCAAATCACCACTCCCCTAATTCCATGGTACTAGCAGTAAGACTCTCGAGGTGTTCCCTGGTAGTGACAAAAAGCACTCTCATTGTCCTCCTCATCTAATCCTCGTAGCAGCCTTGTAATCCAGGTATTGCCTCCATTTTACAGACAAGGAAACCAAGGCCCACAAAGGTGGAAGTGAATTCCCAAGTCACACATTAAGTAAGAGACAGGGTCAGGAGAGCTCAGCCCAGCTCCAGGTTCAAAGGTTCTCCTGCCCTCAGTCCTTCTGGCCAAGCTGCCCAGCTCAGGGCAGTCTCAGGAGCTTGGACTTGCCCATGAAAAGTTTTGAAACTCTCTGCAAAGGAATCAAGAGTATCTAACCCAACAATTTGATTAAGCCAAGGGCTCCCTGGCTCAGACCATAAACATTTTACTTGTTTGACTGCTGTGACAAAGTTGAGAAGTAACATTGCCTAAAGTTACCCAGCGAGTAACAACACCTAACATGTCATGAGTACCCGTGTGCCAGATACCGTTCTAACTCATGCATTACTCACAGCTACACGTGCCCCAGTTTGATAACAAAGTGGCCTAATGAGCACATTTCAGGAAGCAGAATTTACGAAGCCACCAACAGTAGATTAAGAAAAGACACTCTATCCCTGGACGAATTTCATCAAAGAGGAGACCGTAAGGAGTGATTAAATGAGGCAGTAGGCATATACACAGTTCTTTTCAAGAGCTCTGTAGGAAAACATCTTAACAGCAAGACAACCAAATCCAGACAAAGAGTTTTCTTGTTGTACACAAAGAAGTCCGTTCAAGCTCAAAGTAGCTATATTTTAAAATGTCCCCTAAATCTTTGTTTTCAAGATTTAAGTGGTATTACACTTTTCAAAAACTCCTCAGGTCCTTGTCTGTAGGTGTATTTAATAATCACGATCACACTGTACATACCATTTTAAATACTTAATACTTAAATACATATCATTTTAAATAGCCTGTTGGGCATTTTCCATACATGACAATTATTTTTAATGTATGCATAACAGTCCACCCAGTGCTTGTACTCCCACCATTCACTAATATTTTCAATTGTTCAGTTGCTGCTACAACGATCAGCTTATAAAGTTTCCCTGCTTTTCAATCATTTAAGCATAAATGCCACAAAATGGAACTTGTGGATTAAAGATCATAGATTCAGAGTTTTTCTATGGCTCTTGGCAGATACAAACTGCCAAGTTGCTGCTACTAAAAAAGAGTATCTTTATGGCATCAGCAACATCTGCACTGTAATCATCTTGCTACACGACAGGCATTAAATTGCATCTTTCTGTCATAATTCTCTATCAACCTGCTTCTTGCTGCTTGGGCAACCACCATTAATCCCTATGCTCCTCTTTTCTAAAGCAAATTTCCAGCGTTTCAACACCTGGTTAAACTTCCAACCTAGAAACTCAACCAAGGTGAGAATAATGGTTTCATTCATTTTTATTACTTGTGTCTACAATCACTATAGATAAAAGGTCTTTGTAAACACGCACACACTCAGATGTTATTAGTCAGTCACCCTCTCGCCACATCCTTTCTGATTTAGGACAATCCAGGTTTTTAGCTTCTGCTTCACAGGAAGGGAAGAAAATAAACTGTCCTCTGCTGAACCAAAAAATACCATTCCCTCCAATCTAGAGTCAAGGTGTCTAAATCTCTTCCCTTGAGAAATCTTTTCCCATCCTACTGCTCCACTTTTGGCCTACACAGACTGAAAAAGTCTCTTACACACACAGCTCACCAAGTGTCTAACTTTCTCAAAACACTTGCAAGTTAACACTGTGAACGCTCCATGCATCTCTACAACTTTGTGTAGGCCGTCCTCTCTGCCTGCAAACAAAGTCCTCCCTCCTGTCCTCCGCCTCAGATCACAGAGCTCTACATCAGGCAGCAATTGGTCTATTCCTGTGGCATCTGAAGATACCCGTGGCTCTGGCGTGGAGTGCCCCTTAGCTCTGGGGCGATGTTTGTTCTCCTCACTGCCTCCCGCATAAATAAAGAAAGTTCTCGAAATGACTGCCAACACGATACTGCAGTGTTCGTAGTGTCAAGCAAAGTCCTTCTCTTTCCAGGTCTTGGATGTCCACACTTCTCAGGACAAGTTGTCTGGCTCCGCCCCCTCCAGCAAAAGAAGCATTGTGAAGTCCCCAACAAGCATTCTCCAAGCTTCTGGGAGAATATGCAACTCCTCTAAGTGCATTCTAAAAGGTCTAGAACCCCTGCCAAAACTGCTCACAGAGATGTAGACTTCTGACACCTGAACCCAGTGGGACCCAACTCACTTGTTGCACATCAGCAGCACTTCCAGCTCCTTGACGTTGTGGACTAGGAACTTCCGGAAGCCGCTGGGCAGCATGTGCTTTGTTTTCTTGTTGCTCCCATAACCAATGTTGGGCATCAAGATCTGGCCCTTGAATCTTCTGCGCACCCTATTGTCAATGCCTCTGGGTTTCCGCCAGTTACGCTGAAAGAAAACACAGGAAGGTCAGGGTCTGCATGGACTGCCAACTCTTCCCTTTGGAGGAAAAACGGGACCAAATGAAAAGGAAACATGGCAAACAGTAGCTGTCCTTGGGTAACAGAGTTTCACTACTTCTTTATATTTTTTTGGTGGAAAAAGATGAGGCTCCTACATCTGACCACCAGGAATATAGACCCCCATCCACTCCTCCTAAGCAAAGGAAAAGCAGACTACATACGGATGGGACGTGAGGGGACTGTGTATATAGTGAGATGAAGAGCGTGGGCTTTGATACTGCACTCAAGACCTAAGTCTGCTCATCTACGAAATAAGGATTATCTACCTCTCATACTGTCACAAGGCCACCTGAAATATGATACAAGTACAAGCCTCTAGACACCTCACAACAGCCAAGTGTCCCTCGTCATTTAAATTTGAGTTTACACATCAAAAGACGGAGTGGCAGGAAGGCACACTCAGAGAGACCCGGGTTTCTGCCCAGTGCTCTTCCAGCACCAGCCTGGTTCATCTGCCGACAGTAACCTTCCCACTAGACGTCAGAAACCCAACAGCCCATTGAAGAACCCCTTCTTCACCCCAACACACACTTCCATCCCAGGGCCATATACCTTAATTTTGACATATCGGTCTGACTGGTGCCGAATGAACTTCTTGGTCCTCTTTTTGACGATCTTGGGCTTCACCAGGGGTCTGAGGGCAGCCATGATGCCTTCAAGAAAGAGGCAGAGACTGTGTCCAATTAGAGCCCTGGAAGGAGGCCTTCTTGCCCAGGGCTTGAACATTGTTGCAGAGTGTCTTCCAATCACCAGCTACTGAGACAGCTGGGAATGGAATGGGTCCCTCTGCCAGGCTTGCTTTCCCTCCCGTCTCCGAAGCTGGCAGAGTACTAGCCACTCTCCAGACGCGATCCTGGGAGGTGAGGGGTCACCTCACCCACTCAAAGCCAAGAAGGAACACCAAGAGCCGACCTAAAACGTTCTCAGCTTAACAGGGGCAACAGATGCCACTCCACAAAGTGTCCCACCCCCCAGATGGTCCCATTTCATTTTAGTTATGCAGGCCTTGGGGAATTTACGAGAACCCGAGTCCGGTTTCTCACCTGTAAAATGAGATATTGCACACTGAATGCTTGCAGTGCCCGGACCAAGAGGGTCAGTAAATAGAAACCTATCGTTCCCCCAGGTGCTGCTGCTCTGCAGTATGCTCAGACGCTATACAAAACCAGGATGTGCTTCTAAAACGCCTCTAGGTCTGAACATACTGTTCTACCTGGAGCTCATCTGAGTATCAGCGTAACAGTGACCTTCCTCTGTCACTTCCACCTCTGGGAGGTGGCCTTCCCAGCTACCCTATTTTCTTCTGCTGTAGCCACTTTTTGTTCTCTTCTCAGCGATCAATTTCTTTGTTCGGCATACAGTAGGTACTCAATGAACATGTGTTTAATTAGGGAATGACTCCCTCCGCGCCCGGCGCCATGATTTCATCGAAAACAAGGACGCGGTTTCATATTCCCAGAAGTGCTGACCCGCTACCAGAATTTCTGTGAATGGAACGAGCCGCCTCGCAGCTCGTATTTTCTTTTTTTTTTTCGGCGATCCCGCCGCAGCAGCAGCCCCAGGCCCCGACACTGGAGGGAGGGCGCGTGGGGCAGCGGAAGCAGAAGGACACACGTGGGCAGACAGCACCAAGCGCGGTGATGGATCCGAGGACCGAGCCCAGGGCCGTCAGGACGGAACCCCCGGCCGCTCCGCGGCCTCCTTAGTCCGGCCCCAACAGGCGCCCCGCGCCCCCAGGGCCGGGACTAGCGGCCTGCAGGCCCGACTGACCCCAGCGGCCTCCCCAGGAGGGCAAGCGCCCGGGAAGCGAACTTCAGTCACTCGCCGGCCGCCTCGCTCTGCTCCTGCTCGCGCTCCAGCCAGCCGACAAGGACGGTGCCCACCGAGGCGACCGCTGAAGGACAGGCCTGCCCACCACGGGGCGATGGGACCGGACGCGGACTGAAGAGACGCGCACGGCGAAGCATCAAGACTCACCGAATAGAAACGGCGGCCGCCGCGGGACCAGCGCGAGGAAGAGAGGGCGAGGCGGCGCGCGAGGGCTGACGGGACTCAGCCCTCAGGTCCTGGCAGGGAACAGTGAGCGCTTCCGGCTCTCGGTCCTCCAAAGAAAATAGACACGCCAGAGAAGTAACAGCGAAAAAGTCGAGCGCTGCCTGTGTCTTCCTAGGGTGTAGTATCCGGGAGTAGTACTGAACATTTTTCATACTGCCGTTGGGACTGCCTAGAAAATTTGGAATTCTTTCTGAGCTTCTAGGACCTGATGGCGGGCATCCGCTTCCGCCATGAGTCGGTGCGGCTCCGCCGGAGAATAATCCAATTTTCAGATTATTTCCCCCGCGTTTCTTCTGCTCCAAAGTGCGCCTCTTAGTGGCCAAGAGGGAGCAAAACAAAGACTTCGAATGATTCCCTCACGTGAATTTAAACAGCAATGAAAGTATAACAGCTGCCATCCAATGGGGTTTACTATCCTTCCCACTATTCTGAGGTGGTTCTATTATTTTCCCTATTTTACATGTGTAGAGAGTGAAGTTTGGAGATTTGAGTCCAAACATCCACACTTCTAACCGTTAGGATAAACTGCCTAGTTTTTCATTGTTCTTCTTGGTTTGTTTTGCTTCACTTTTGTTTTTAAGATTATTGTGAAAATCGAATTTCAGGAGGAAAAAATGCCCCTTGATTCCACAACTCGAACGTAATACAGGTGTCATCAGGGATCTTGACCAGGTAGTTCCAGGGGCCAGCTGGAGACAGAAGCTCAACGGATTGTGTTGCTGACTGAATGAGAAGCAAGAAGGGAAGGAAGGGAGTGTGGACAACTCCATGAGATTTGACTGTGAAGGGAAGGGGAGTTGGAGGAGACCAGAGAGGTGGGACGAAAAGTGAAGTGAAACGGCCTGTCCGAGGTGACACAGCTGGCAAGCAGGATTGAGACCAAAACCCCGCTGTGTCCGTGACTGTACCACACCTCACGGATCCTGCTTATCCTTCGGCCTGTGGGAAGTCAGATGGGCAGCCGAGCCCGGAGGCACTGTGCTAACAGCAGCCCACATGATGCGTGTTATGAAGGAAAAGCTTTTGAGGGGGTCAGGTGGGTGGATCAAGTGACGGGCTCATGACCAGAGAGCATGCTTCCAACTGTGAACGACCCTAGAGATTTGGAAGGAGTGACCCAAATGGCTCAGTCTTTGGGGGAGGAGGCACATGCTGTCAACTTCTTTCACAGAGGAAAGCACAGGGGTACTGTGGGAGATCAAGATTTGGCCATCCTAAAATATATCTCTTTACCTTGATTATTTTCTCTGAGGGACATTTGATCTCCCGCTGCCGACCACTGGGCTTTTTCACTTTCAGCTTTCTGGAAAAGAAGATGACACAGGGAAGGTTGTCATGGCAGACAGGCCAGGTCCAGGGCTCCTTCTCAGTGGAGCAAACCAACTGTGACCAGAGTGCAAGCGCAGAAATGCGCTAAGCACTTCAGTATCTCAGTCTTCGCTACAATTCCTTGTGGTAGGTTCTGTTGTCCCTTCTACCTTACCAAAGAGGACCCGGAGGCTTAGAGAAGCTAAGTCATTTCTCCAAGGTCACACAGTGAGCAAGTGGCAGAGTGCAGGCTCGACTTCCAATCTGCTGCCTCTAAACACCAAACTCTTAAGTGTACACCATGTGTTCTCTGGAGGCATTTTAATGTGGGGTTCGGAGGATAGCCTCTGGAGCTGGCAGAGCTGGGGTCAAATCCCTGCTCCACCACTTAATAGGTGTGTGACTTTGAGCAAGATATTCAACTTTTCTGTACCTCAGTTCCTGTCTTGTAAAATAGGTATGCTAAAAGTAACTTCATAGGGGTGTTGAGAGGATGTACATGAGTTAACACACGAAAACACCCAGAGCGGGGTCTGCCTGACACTCTAACTGTTGTTTTAAGCCTCTCAGCTCCTGGGCACTGAGTCCCAGATGCTGTGCTAGGAGCACCGTGCAAGCTGCAGAGTCCCAGGCATCTCCCTCCCACCCTCCCCTCTTCCAGAGTTAGGTGATCGCAACAAGCCTGATGAATTGCTCAAACCCCTTAAAGTACATTCTCTTTATTATTGTCGGCGTTTTCCTAGTGGAGAAGAGAGGGAGGCATCTTGTCAGGAGAGGCGAAGTCCAGGTTAACGGGGCCTCGGGGAGTAGCCCGGGTGCCACCACTGACCTCTGCAGGGCCCGACACCCAGCCCATGATCTGTGAAGGGGCCTCCCCTGTTTCTCTAAGGAGACCCTCTTTTTAATCTTTTCCAGAGAGCTTGAGATCGTGTCAGAATTGGTCAGGAGGGTAGCTGTGGGGGAGCTGAAGTGAGGAGGCTGCAGCCTGAGACATGCGCCAGGGTGACACTGGGGACTGGCCAGTCCATGATGACCAGTTGGGTTGGACATGCAGGGTTAGGACACAGACACTGGCACAACGTGACACCCCATGTCTGTCAGTGTCCCAGCCCCTTCAGCCAAGGGGACAGCAGCAGGGCAGGAGCAAATGGCAGGGGAGAAAGGGGGTTTGACACTCAGCTTGTCAGTCGTCTTAGCCGCAGGCTCACTGCGGCCCTGGGGCCTGCTCAGGCCCAGATTCGGGCTGAAGCTCTTCAAGTCTGAGTAGTAGCCTCCAGGCTGCCGGATCCGGCACACCGGGTCCTTCTGGAAAAGGATCTTGTGTCCCGGGTACAGCAGGGCTGGGAGCAGCAAGAGCGATGTGGCCGGTCAGCCCAAGACCCCTCTCCTCCCTGAACTTCCGGGGCAGAGGGGGACTTCTTTAAAAATAAATTCACATTTTTGTTTGATTTTTTCTTACATACGTTTTTCAAAACTTTCTATATTTAAATGATTGCAGATTCACAGGAAGTTGCAAAAATAGTGCAGAGGGTCCCTTAGACCCTATCTCCAGCTTCCCCCAGTTGTGACATGGCATGTAACTATAGTGTGATATCAGGAAACGGGGGTGGTACAATGCTGCTGAGTGGCCTACAGATGAGGGAGCTTCTTTCTAACCAGGTCAGCAAAGGCCCGAGGCAGGGAGCAGGCCCACCGTGCACCACCAGCCTGTGGGGCGTCCTGGTCAGGAGTCCCGGAAGGAGGAGGGGAGATGCACCAAGACTTCACCAGGTTAACTGAGACCTGGCTGATGGCAGTTTCCTCCTTGTCTAGAATCAGTCGCACAGATATCCGCGGGAGACCTTTCTAAGAACTGCAGAACATAAAGAACACCGGGCCAGGTCTCCATCTTCCTGCAACTATTGAGCAGTGCTTATCCTAAGATGATAACACGCGAATAGCTCACGTTCTAGAAAAAGCGATGGAAGGTTACACTCCAGGTTATTAATGTTGGTTATTTGGGGGGAGGGCAGGGATTGTGCAGATGAGAAGAAAGGAGAGGGAAAGGGAGACATACAACATCAACATTTTAAAAAGGTATTTTTTTATTTACCTGTATTACCTTTATATTTTATTTTATTTTTTTTGTGAGGAAGATCAGCCCTGTGCTAACATCTGCCAATCCTCCTCTTTTTTTTGCTGAGGAAGACTGGCGCTGGGCTAACATCCGTGCCCATCTTGCTCCACTTTATATGGGACGCCGCCACAGCATGGCTTGCCAGGCGGTGCGTCGGTGCATGCCCGGGATCCGAAACGGTGAACCCCGGGCCACCGCAGCGAAGTGCGCGCACCCAACCGCTTATGCCACCGGGCCAGCCCCTAAAGATGATTTTTAAAAGTACATTTTAAAATATATATACATGATTTTTAAAAATGATTTACATGTGGGGCTGGCCCGGTGGCGCAAACGGTTAAGTGTGCGCGCTCCGCTGTGGCGGCCCGGGGTTCACCAGTTCGGATCCCGGGCATGCACCGACGCACCGCCTGGCAAGCCACGCTGTGGCAGCGTCCCATATAAAGTGGAGGAAGATGGGCACGGATGTTAGCCCAAGGCCAGTCTTCCTCAGCAAAAAAAAGAGGAGGATTGGCAGATGTTAGGGCAGGGCTGATCTTCCTCACACACACACACACAGATTTACATGAATAATTTTGTGTAAATGGAAAAGAAAAAGAGGTTTGAGAAAGAAGGGTCACTAAAATATTAATGGCAGTCAACTCAGGCTGGGGGGGATTTTTACTTTTATGTTTTTTAAAAAAATTGTGTTCAAGTATTATCTATAAAATAAGGGAGAGAAAAACAATAAAGCTATATTCTCTGGGAAGAGGAATATTACCATGATGTTCTAGAATTCTGGCCCATAAGCTTGAGGCCTGGAGTTGGAGCCCACCAACCTCGAGTCTACAACACAGACCTGGGAGTCCTGATGTTTGCACTTCTTTGCCCACAGCAGATCAGGCGTGTGTCATAAGGACAGCCAATGGATAGTGGCCAGGACAGTGGTGGACTAGAGTCTTTCCCATCTAGACCAATCAGAAGCCAAAGGAAGCCTGCCCACGGATGCTGCTCCTGTGTGCCCATGAATGTGAGATCCTGCAGAAGGTGAGGCTCACCCATGTACTGACCCAGAAGCTAGGAAAAGCCAGTGGTGGAGAGAATCAGTAGGGGCTTGATAGTCTGGTGGGGACAGACAAAGGGGGCACATCCAGAGGAAAGACCTAACCCACAGGAGCAGTGTGGGGTGCCTGGCTAGCCTGCCTGCATTTTAGAGGACATAGCTGCAGCTCCACCATTAGCCAAGACCAGGGGATGGAAACAATCAGGGAAGGAGAAAAAAAGGATGATTTGGTGAAAAGTCAGTGTCCAGAGCTGCAGGATCTCCTGCTGTGGCTGCCCTCCCAGCCCAGGTGGGCAGCAAGCAGCCGCCAAGTGAGGGGTGTGCAGCAGGTGCGAGAGACAATGACCATTTAGGTTGGTTGGCCTGTGTTCCTGAAGGCCCTTGGCCACATCTCCCTGAATAGACCTGTTACGGGCTGAATTGTTTCCCCCAAATTCAAATGTTGAAGCCATAACTCCAGGAACCTCAGAATTTGTATTTGGAGGTAGGGCCTTTCAAGAGGTGATTAACCTAAAATGAGGTTGTTAGGGTGGGCCCTAAGCCAGTCTGATTGGTGTCCTTATAAGAGGAAATTTGCAGACACAGAGAGACACCAGGTACACTGGTGTCTATATTGAAAAGATCATGTGAAGAGGCAGCAAGAAGGCAGCCACTTGCGCGCCAAGGAGAGAGGCCGCAGAGGAAACCAATCCTGCCGGCACCTTGATCTTGGACTTCTAGCCTTCAGAACTGTGAGAATATAAATGTCTGTGGTTTAAGCCACCCAGCCGGTGGTACTTTGTTCCAGAAGCCCTAGCAGACTAATACAAGACCCAAGGCCCTATACATTTAGCACTTGTTCCTCTCCCTCTTGGGAAGAAGATGGAAATAATTAATTGTGACTGTTAACTCTTGTTCTCAGGGAAGTCACACCACTCTCTGTGTGCCCCTCTCTCAGAAAGCCACCTTTCCCAGTATGACCACAGTTCCTCCCTGCAAAGGTCCTATGGGAAAACCTCTTCCCTCAAGTGCAGTTGCTCCTTCATGTTTTTAAAGCACAGTGAGGGACCTGCCCATTAAATTTATAAATTCATAAATTCATAAATCTGGGATGCCGGCATTGCTGCGTGGTCATCGGGAGCTGGGCACTCCCCCACCCCCATGTCTCAGAAGCACATACTCTACCCAGAGATGTGGAAGGTTCAGATCTGCTTGGATATGTGAAGACACAATTCTTCCCCCAAGCAGAGGGCGGAACCAGTGTGGGAATCTCAGGGTTGAGTCCTGCTGTCTGAGCGGAGAGCAAAGGGCCTCAGCAGAAAGTGTCTCCTGGAGCATTCCTACCTCAGGATTGCAGAAGAATCAAGAAACTGGCCTGGCCGAGGGAGGTGGCTTTGGAAATGCCCAACACAGCCTTGCAGTATCACTTCTACCAAATCTCCCTCTTTGAAACTGGCATTATTCCTTTATGCTCAACCTCAGGGTTCCCTCACCCCAAACTCCTATCCTGGGAGCTTCCTGCTCTAAAATGCCAGCTCACCAAGCTCAGCTGGGGAACCCGGACCCCCAGGCCTGTGGAGCCTGTGCACCTCTGAGATCTAGAAATCTCATCTATCAGCAAAACAGGCTGGGCTGTTCCTCCCCTCCTCCCCCTCCTTCTTCCCAGTGTCTCCACCACAGGCCACAGCAGCCTAGCTGGGTGCATGTTGGCTGGGGAAGGACAAGCCTCAGGTGGACACCACCCTCGCCTGGGCTCTGGCCCCTCTTGGCATCCTCCCAAGGGCCAGCCACCAAGGCCCTTACCTTTCATGAGGGTGTCCTCTGTCACCGGGAGGCCTTGGTACCCACAGAGCTCCTGGCACTTCAGGTAGACCAGAAGGTCGTTCATGCGGGACTTGTTGATGAGCTCGTTCATCTCCCCCTGGATGGTGGACGGGAGGCAGTGGTCATCAACGCACTTATTCCCACTGTGCACCAGGCGGCACTGCTCCGTGTACTCAACGGAGGGGATCCTGAGCTGCAAAGAGAAGAGAGGTTGCCACACACTTCTCTTCGCCTTGTCTCTCTCCTCCTGGCTGGAAGGCAGATGTTGAGCCTTATCTGCCTCTCCCCATGCGGCCCCCAGAACGGGCAATGGCAAAGAATACACGGTGGGACCGAAGTTCAGGTTCTGCAGTCGGTGACTCGGGAGAAAAATCACACATGGTCAAGGCTACCCCTGAAGAGCGCCTGAATGGTCAGCGCACGCAGTGCTGTGTGCAGAGCCCTGTACGCGGACGTGCACATGTGACTGTATAATGTATCCATACGGTACAGTGCAGATGCGCTAGAGGCATCCTGTTGAAACATTACATTCAAGGGTTTGGCTGCGTGGGAATTTAAATTAAGTGCAGCCATCTGTGACTTTCAGGTGGAAGCTACTGTTAAGGATGACAGAGAAAGGCAGAAGAGGGCTGAGGAGTGTGTAGCCACTTGCGGCCTTCTTATTTGTTGATTTATTTACAAGGAAAGAAAAATCTACCTTTTTCAAGCTTCTAACACCAGAATCCACAAAGTACAGCTCATAGGCCAAATCTGGCCTACCACCTGTTTATAAAATAAAGTTTTATTGGAACACAACCACACTCATTTGTTTAGGTGTCGTGTGTGGCTGCTCTGTGGTGCAGAGTCAAGTAGTTGCAACAGAGACGACACGGCCTGAAACACCTAAAACATTTACTATCTGGCCCCTTCCAGGGAAGGTTTCCGATCCCTGCTCTAACATTTTGGGTTTTCCTGTCATGCAGCTGAATCAGATCTTAGTTGATATAGCACTTACCAATACCGAACATTTTATTATGTCTTCACATTTATAGATAATATAAAAATATGTATGTATTTGGTATTACATTAATATTGCCTGCCTCCCTGACTAGACTCAGCTTCCTGAGGGCAGGGGCTGTTGTGTTCTCAGAGCACCTAGAAGAGTGCCTGGCACATCACAAGCTCTCAACAAATGTTTACTGGACGAATTAATTCACACAATCAGTTCTTCCTTCCTTCACTGGTCATGTATTTCTGGAGTGCCTACTCAGGGCCAGGCCCCATGCCAGGCGCTTGGATTCCAGCTGTGATGAAGACGCAGCCCGGTCTCAGGAGGCAAAGTCGTAATTAACGAATGGGAGGAGGGGAACTCAGTACCTTCAAAAACATTATCTCATTTCATCATCACAGAAACCTTGTGAGGTAGGTATTGTTTTTGTTATACAGATGAAGGAACAGATGAGGGAACAGAGAGGTAAAGAAGCCTGCTCCCAAGAGTTCCCCCAGCTAGAAGGTGGTGGAGGTGCCGCGGACTGGAACCCAAGCCTGTCCAATTGCCAAGCCCAGTGCCCTCCCCCGCTGGCGGGGGTACCTTGTTCTGCCGCCTCCTCTCTCGGCACCGCTTGCCGACGTCCTCCATCTCCTCCAGGGTCATGGGCCGTGCCTCCAGCTGGGTATCGACGACGGGCACAGTCAGTAGATCCACCCTCGGAGGCTCTGGGGCTAAAGTGCCCTTCTGCTTCTGAGATGCACTCTGTGGGGAAACTCTGTGCTCAGCAGAGCAGTCGGAGGAACGAGACAAAGAAGGAGAGACTGAGAGGGTGCCCAGCCACGGAATCCTCCAAGCAGTTACCCACCGTCACCGAGCAGGCACTGGGCCACCCCTCTGCTCACTTCCTACGTGTCTGGTCAGCGCCATCTGAGATGTGCGTTGAAGGTGTCCCTGCTCTCCCCTCCACTGGGCCTCCCTAGAGCGGGCCGCCTCCTCCCTCACCTGTTCCATGGACCCAGCCTTCCTGTTGCATTTCTCATCTTCTAGAGTCCTGTTTCCACCAAACAGCAAATAGGACTTACAAAAAATATAAGCCAGATCACCTCATTCCCCTGCTTAACACTCTCTACTGGCTTCCCACAGCACCTCGAGTCCTGCCCCTGATCTGCACAGCCTCAGGAGCTGGCCTCAGCTGACCGGCCACCTGCCCCGTCTCCTACGGCCCAGCCCTCACTCACTCCACCCAGCCCCCCCGCACTTCTTCTGTCCCCGGGAGCCTTCTCACCTCAGGGCCTTGGGCTTTGAGGTCACATCTGCTAGGATGCCCTTTCCCAGACTGGCTCCTCCTCAGTCACTCAGCTCTCAGCTCCAGCGGCTGCTTTTCAGAGGCTTTCCCTAACCACCAACCCTCACTCTGTCCTCTGTCTTCAAAGCATTAATCGCTACGGAACACCGTCTTGGTTAACCCTTCACATGGAAGCTCACTGAAGGCAGGGGCATTGGCTTCTTCACTGCTGTGTTCCCAGCTCCTAGAAGTGTGCCTGGCACACAGTAGGTCCTCAACAAAGATCCGAGTGAATGAAAGCACCCCACCACCCTGCCCTGGTTCAGGCCTTCACTGTCCTGGGCTGGGATGGAGTGCTGGCCCCACTGCCTTCTCGTGTTGCGACGGTGGCCAGGCGGTCAGCCTCCCGGAGCTTCAGCTCCCTCCTCGTACAGTGTGACTGGCAGCCCTGAACTCGGGGGACTTGAGGATAAACGGAGCTGATGCTGGGGTAACGCTCCCCAGCCCACAGAGGACGCCCCCAAATGCTACCACCTTCTCTCTGTGAGCTGGTGCCCAGACTCTTGATGCTGCTGCCCCTTTAGGCAAAGCAAGAGATACCCAAGTCTGCTTCCCCTACCCACTGCTGCTCTCCGGGGAAAAAGAACTCCGTGATGATCCTGAGAGAGCACCATTCAAGCAAATACCTGCTCTTGGCTTCAAGTCTATTTATTGGGAAATGATAGGCCCCAAATACCTTTGCTGCAAATACACATCATGGTGCACCGTGATCATTCACCAAATGACCCTCAGCCAACTACATGGATACCAATGCGCTTTGGTAATTCATAATGAAAAGGCAAAAAGAGCATGGGTGGGAAATGATGCCCAACTCGAGCGACCCTGAGGATGTGCTGGACACGAAGGGTGATGGCTACTGTGGGGGTGGTGACACGTGCGGGAGGCGACTGTAGGGGCGCTCATGTTCCCTGGGACTCTGAGATGGGCGGAGACCCTGCCTGGGGGTGATGGTGCCTCTGCCCAGGGCTTGTTGAGGCTACAGGTCGGAAATCTGTGTGCTGCGCTGTAGGTGACGCTCCAGGGGCCTGAGGAATGGACGCTATGGGAGCTGCCTGCTGCCTCCAAAAGAACCAACCAGTGAGGATGCCAAGCACCTAGCTCAGTGTGACCGTGAACTCCAGAGGCCCTCCCAAATCTTCACCCATGTAAGGAAACCCCTCCACTGCCCCCCTAGGGCTCTTACATGACCACAGGGAGGACGAGCAGCACCACCCCACCCAATGTCTGAAATTTCATTCCCGCCAACCTGGCGAGTGGGGGCAAAGCAAGATTTGTTTCATGTAGAAAAAGAAAGATGTGGTTACATTTGGGGAGGGATCTGGAATAGTGGGCAGTGGTCAAGGGAGGGCTTGAATTCTATCTCTAGTTGTTCAAATTTTTTTTTTTTTACAACAACAATAGCACTAAACTCTAAAGAACCATGATGCACCCTGTGTTGTAGAGTAAATTCATAGCAAGAGCTACGGCTAGTCCATTTCTAATTTGCCTCTGTGCTTTGTCTGGAAAGATGTAGCTCCACGAGCACGTGGCTTGGCAAATGGAACTTGAGCTGTGCACAACATATACAGCTGTTCACAGCAGCCCTACTAATATCCCTGAGAGTAAAATACCAAAGTAAACTTTCCAGTAAACTCTAAATGTGCTAATTCCGGTTTCTGAACTTTAGTTTACTTTTTATGAATAAGGTATAGATTAATAGTAAGAAGGCCTTGCACCCATTTACAAATGGAAAGGCTTGCTGTCTGTGTCAGCGTTATCAGGTGGGCTTTAGGGGGCTGAAACCACCCTTTGAGAATCCTACACTAAGGACAAGGGCTGAGCCTCATTCATCTTTGAATGGACATGGTGGCTGGGCACTCAAGAGAATATCTACTCCTTAGTTGATCCCTGCGCCTAGAAGTTCCAGAGGCTTGGCCCACCTACAGTGAGCCAGAGTTGGAGAACACACTCAGGAAGTGAGCCAAGGCTGCCTCCACCAGGCTTGCTCCCCAGATGGGGAAGCGGAGGCACGGGGGTTGGGAGTGGATACATACTCTCCCTTCCAGTTGGCAGGGCGCTTCTCTGCTCAGCCAAACACCACTGTATGTAGGTGTTGGTCAGGGCATGCAGGGTGATGCTGCTGTGCGTCCCCAGAGAGCTGAGATAGATGACAAAATCCTCCACCTCCTGGTCTGTCAGAGGGACTCTGACCTGAGGAGAGAAGAGAAGCCCCCAGGGTGGGCAGGCTCCAATCCACACGTCCTGCCAGGACAGCCAAGGCCTTGCCAGCCTAGCCCCACCGCCCCATCTAGTTTCACTTGCAGCCACTCCCAGCTCATACCCAAAATCTCTGCCACAGCAGCTCAGAGCTCTTCCCCGGGCCCTGAACACACCCTGCACTTTCTCACCCCCTGCCTTTACTCAGGCGTTTCCCCCTCTCTGCCTGAAAAACTCCTATCCCTCCCTCAAAGCCCAGTCCAGATATGCCACCGTCTTTGCAGAGTCTGCTACTTCTTCCTCTGGGCTCCCACCTCACTCCATGCCAATCACTCCATGCCACACCCCGCTCTCCCATGCTGGATGTGAAGAAGAATTTCATGTGTCTATCATCCTTGCCCATGAGGGACACATAAGCCTCCCTTCACTGAAGTAAAATCGGATCAGCAATACGATAAGCAGGGTGAGCAACTTGGGCGGAGGATGATGCTGGCCAGCAACAGCGAATATACAAGAAAAAGTTTTACAGGAAATATAAAAATATAATTCTTCAGCTGCTTTAGACCATAGTCATTGCCCACTGAACTTTCCTTAAAGAAGATCAGCACTCTCCTTGTGTGGAAGGATTTAGTGTTTTATCTTCTTGGTCAGGCAGATTCAAGACCCTCTATCTTTTGTTCTAAATGCCTTGAAAGGTTGTTCAGACACTTCCGTGTCATAAAATGATGGTGTGAAAACCAGTGAGGATTCACATATTTCATAAAGTATGCAGCAGTCAACTGCCTAAAGTTTTTCTTAAAGGCTTTAACCCCAAGTCCAGTGCTTAAATAAAAGCTTAATTCATCTAGACCAGGGGTCAGCAAACTTCTTCTAGAAAGGGCTGGACAGTAAAGATTTTAGGCTCTGTGAGCCATAGGCTCTCTGTCATCACTGCTCAACTCTGCTCTCACGGGATGAAAGCAGCCAGGACAACACACAAACAAATGAGCATGGCTATGTTCCCATAAAACTTTATTTACAAAAACAGGAGGCAGACTCGGTTTGACCCCTGGGCCATAGTAGGCAGACCCGTGCTAGATCAACAGAACTTTCTGCAATGATGGAAATGTTCCACATCTGCACAGTCCAACAGAGGAACCACTCACCACATGTGACTACTGAGCACTCGAAACGTGGTGGGTGTGACTGAGGAACTGGATTTTTTATTTTATTTATTTACAATTAACTTCAGTTTGTGACTAGCCAGTAGAAGTGTGGTCTGTGGACCAGGACCATGGGCGTCACGGGGAGCTCGTCAGAATGCAGCATCTTGGGCCTCACACAGAGGCACTGAGTCAGAAGCTGCATTTTAACAAGACCCCTGTGTGATCCATATGCCAGTGACAGCTGGAGAAGCTCTAGAAGGTTCTAGAGGCAGGACTGAAGGCCTAGCAATCTCTCTGCTCGGTTCTGGGGTCTGATGGGCAAGATTCCCCAGGCAGCTGGCTGGTTTACGGCTCAGCTCTGCAGACTGTCCACAAAGGTAGGACCTTTCAAGGTCAGACCCAGGCAAGGGGAGTTTTAGGCGTCTGATGTGGCCACAGGTGAAGCCACATTTTCCCGTCTGGCTTTACAAGTAATAAAGCTGATCGTTTGAGCTCCCTGTGTCTACTTTGCAGTGGGTCCAGGACCAGAGGAGGGGGCAGCAGTGGGGGGTGCATGGA